GTTATTGGCTGCAAAAAAAATGTCCAGATAGGACAAGTGAGAAATCGCTGTGCTGTGTTTGATGTCAAAAGGCACAAGCAGGGAGTGTCTGAGTGGTGCAGGGTGGGATTTCATGCTTTGTTGTTCCTCAGCCTGCTGAGTTTCCAGGGAAAATGTGGGACCCCAGCACATCCCTCTGGCTGCCCTGGCTGCTCCAGACCCTGGCACAAAGTCACAAACACCTGTGGCTTTGATTTTAGCCCGTGGAAAAAGCTGCCAACTCTGTGTGAGGAATTACAAACCACAAGGGTTTGAGCAGTGTGGGAGTTGAGTTAACACACGGTGAAAAAGTAGAATTTTGGGGTTTTTAGAATGGGGTTCAAGGGGACAAGATGGAGGGATTTGGGTGTGTCCTGACCTTCTTCTCCTTCTCCTTGCCCTCCATGCCTTGCTGTGCTGGTGACACTTTTCTGTTGGTTTAAGGCACAGACACACTGTCCAACAGAAATGACAGATATTGGCACGTTATTGCAAACATGGCACAGGCAGTTTTTGGTATAAAATGCAAACACCGCCCTGAGGGCAGACAGAATGCCATGGCCGAGCTGCTGGCCAGAGCTCAGCAGGGCAGAGAGAGAATGTTCTGGAGAAGGGAAAATAAACAGCCTTGAGAAGCTGATCCTGCACACTCAGACTGCTCCTTTGGCTGCAGGGCTGGAGAAGGAGGATTTTACACTCCTGGGGTCAGCCCAGCACCCAGACCCCGAGAAGAAAAGACACTTTCCATTCTCCTTAGCTCTGCCAGGGCTCCAAGCTCCAGCTGGGAGCTCTCTGGTGTCTCCACTTCCATCAGCAATAAAGAATCCACAGGGCAAAGCCAACCTTAATTTCAGCTGGGAACCCCCTGATGTGCCTCTGACCCTCAGGACAGGAGATCTGCAGGCTGGGAAAGGCTCCATAGAGCCTGGGACAGAGAGGAGGAGAGCTGAGCAGGATCTTCAAAATGTGACAGTGGAGGAGAGAGATTTTGGAGAACGAGATGTGCAGGACCACAGGATGTTACCTCAAGGAGGGGAGACAGGTCCAGTGCTTGGATATTTTCAGGGAAAGACTGGTAAGGAGGTGCCATCCATCAGAGCTGGAGAAAATTGAGGTATTTGGGGGGAAATGACTGGGGAATGGCCACAGGTTTACTGCATTTGAGATTTTACTTTTTTTAAAAAATAGGATGTCTTTTTGTTCCCCTTTCTTTGATGTTCCCACAGGATATTCCAACATTCCTGCAGCTCATCAGAAGTGCAGCAGGATAAATCCTAAGTCATATCCCCTGTCCCATCCCAGTAATTCAACACAATTTACCTCACGTCTTCTCCTGCAATTTTACATCATCCCACTGGGATAAAATCAGGAGAACCGAGCGTGCACTTTGTAACACTTCCATCAGCCCTGAACATGTTCCTTCATTACAAATCTCAGTATTACAATGCAAATTAGCACCGTAATTAGTTTTGTTATGTGTGTCTCTGGCAAACAGAGAAACAAAAAAAATAGAACCTGGGAAAATATTTATAAATTGAAACTGTGAGCTGATATTTTTAAAAATGCTTTTAAAATGTTTTTAAAGTGCTAAAATTTTTCACAATATTCGCTTTGTGCTCTGGGTGATTAAAGGTTATTTTGCAGCAAATCCAGTGATGTATTTCATCAGCAGAATTGTATTTATTTATTTTATTTCCTTTCCCTTTGCCATTGGGGAGGAAGGCTCAGAAAGGAGAGGGATGTGCAAACCAGTCTGAGGGATTTCTGCACAGTTCCCCCTCTGTGGGTAAAAGAAGAATTCATGTTTCACATCTGCCAATCTGACTTATTTCAGGAGCTTTAAATATTTCTAATAACTTCTGGGGATGGGAGATTTGTGGATTTTTATGAGTGCTAGGAGAGAGTTGTCTGAATCAATGACAAAGGCAGCTCCAGCTGCTCTCTGGACTTGCTTAGGAGCCAAACTCTGTAATTTTTACTCCAAATTTGCTGCTGTTTAGGAAAACTTGCAGGTGTGGATGCTCTGCAGGTTGTTGCTTTTCCACATTGCCCTGACTCCAAGCCGTAGTTCTGGGAACTTCCCTTCCCAGAGGATGCAAGGCAGGGCCAGAGGAGGTGAGCAAGGCTCAGTGGCAGTGTCCCTGCAGGAATTCACCTCTGCAGAGCACACAGGGCTGCAAAGAACACACACAGGAGTCCTTTCCCAGCAAGTTCTCCCCTGCAAAGAGGAGCTGTGGAGACAGGCACAGGTCAGGTCTTTGGAGATGTCACCTCCTTTTATCCTGCTGTGGTCCCTAAGGAATGACCCCAAAACACAGAGAGGCAACTCAGGCATGGAATTTTAGAGGCTTCAGTTCCCTCCTCACCCCTGGACTTTGGCAATTCAAAGACCTGAAGCAATTAAAGTGTCTGTAATTACCCACAATAGCACATTGAGCAATCACTTACCCCTCAAACACTGCAGTCAGCAATCTCCTCCCATGCAGAGGCTGAACAATTCATGGCCCAAGGTCTTGTTGGCCTGGAAAAGTGAGCAGAAGTGGTTCCATAGGAGGTCACCGTGGACCAGTTCACAATCCCTGCACAGCCCTGGTGGGTGGGAGGCAGCAGCAATCCTGGCTTTAACATCAGCTTCCCTGGAAATGGCTTTTAGGGGTGATGGAAGCACCTGAGTGTCACAATATCATAGGAGTGGGGCATGGGCACCACCTCTGGGAATTGATAGCTTGGGATTCTTGGAGGAAAAGGCACAATCAATAATAATAATCAATTATTATTCAATATTAATAATCAATATTCAATAATAGAAAAGGGACAAATCATTCAAATCTTCACGTTTTGAGATTTGCTGGCTTGCAGGAGCTGTTCCTTTGGCTTTGCACGTCTTATTTATTCTCTGTTCTGAAATGTTTGCAGATTGACAAACTGCACTGTTTGGTGTGCTGGAGTGATGAACCAGTTCTCCCAGCAGTTCAATATTTTGTGATCATCTCAGGAATGTGTTTTGTTGGGGTTTTAATGGCAGAGAAATACAGGCAGCATTAAGAGGATGAGCTGCACTGAGCATCCCTGCTCTGCCTTTGATGACTCTGATCCATTTGGGAAGTCAACAAAGATGGAAGAGAGAATAAATCTGCCCTTCCATGGCCGTCTTTATACAGTCTAAAATAACACATAGGGTTATTTTCCTTCTTTTTCTGAAGCTAAGTGCTTTTTTGTGGATCTCCAGCCTGAGTTTTTCACTCCTGCAGTACATACTTGGAGCTGATAGCGCTCATCTTTTATGGCAGAAATTGCTGAAGCTGAGTAATTAAAGTTATTCTTGACTTCTCTTATTTACTGGAAACGACTGAGCTGAATCATAAAAGACTGAGGATTGTACTTTGAATGGTTTCCTGGATACTTTGCTCCTAGCAAGTAATTCCTTAATGGCAAATCCACAACAACAACAAATGTTCTGGAATGGAATCTGACACTCGACTTGTGCTCTTTATTCCCTGCAGTGATCCCTGGTGGATGTCCACCAAGGAAGTGCTGCTTTGCCAGGGTGCTGTCCAAACCTTTTCCACGTATTTGGCATTCTAAATATTATTTAAAATCTACTTTTGTCATTAAAAAAAATTAGAGTTTTGGCTTCTGTAACCACCTCCTCCTCCTTTTTTTTTTTTTTTTTTTTTTTTTTTTTTTTTTTTCTGTGCACTCCACAGTTTCACCTTCCCATCTTTTGCAGGCTGGAGCAGGTGCAGTGTGAGAGCATCAATTTACAGGCAGCACAGTCATTCCCTGTGGTGGCAGATATGAAATGAAATGAAATTCACAAATATGGGTGACTAAATTAAAAGAAAAAATTATTTTCCTGAAGTGGGGTCCCTCTAATCTGTCCCCCTCATTTTGGCTGAGGTGGCTTAGCTTGTGTCCAAAAAATAAAGGAGCTTACTATTGCAAAAAAAAAAAAAAAAAAAAATAGCCATTTTCTGTCCAAACTGAACTTTTGTGAAAAAACAGTTTTCTGTGAGCTCAGCCTGGAGCATTTAAAAAAGCACAACCACAGATTGTGATGCTCTGTATAGTTTATTAATCACAGAGGTTTGGTTTTTTTTTCCCCTCACTTATTTTTCAGACTCTCAGAAGGGTTTGGGTTGGAAGGGACCTTTAAGATTATTGAGTTCCAACTGGATATACACCAAGTCCCAAATTGGTGTCATTTATTAATCACAGAATCAGCTTTTCCTCACCTGGATTCCTTAATTATTTTTGTTTTAATTTCCTCACTGTAAGACTCTCCAGGAGTACAGGCTCCTTCAGGCAAGGACAGAAATGTCACTGCAAAGCTGATTTGCTCCCAACTGGAAAATCTACCCTTGATCACAGAGACAAAAACTGAAAAACAAGAATTTGGAAAAACACGTCAGTTTTAGCAAAGTTTGCTGGGTGTAAAGTTGCTTTTAGGGGAGGGCTTTACATTTAGGAAAGGAATTATTTTGCTTTATACATGAGGGGTGTGGGAGGGAGCACACCCAGGGTGATGCTGCCTAGAGAAAGAAGCAGCTCCTGGAGAGCTGTCCCAAATTTCGTGGTGTTTGTGATAATATAAATAATTCCTGTCTCCCTCTCAGCCTCCCCAGGCATTGCCACAGTGCTCCAATATTGGGAACATCCATTGCTTTACCCAGCCTTACAAAATAAGGGGTTTAAAACGTTGTTAGATGAGATTGCTGTGGTTTGTTCAGTGGCTTCAGCGTTTCCTTTTGCATCCCTTAATGCATTTTTTTCCCTCTTTTCTCCCTCCTCTCACAGTGCTCTCTATCACAGGATCCAACAGTTCCCATTTTGGTGATGGTCCTTATACATATGGAATGATTTATTGATGAATCCCTGCCCTCTTTGCAATAGTATCTCCTGAATTCCACCTTAAAGGAGTCATTGAGACATCACACCATTTAAAGTTCCATGTTTTCCTGCCTTTGATGGGCTGTTTCCAGGGGGATCCATCCCACCAGGGACAGACAGAGCTGGAAGGAATCCTGTTTGCTAATTACTGCCACCATTGAGAAACAAATCCGAGTCACAGGGCAGCACAGTGAGTCCAACCCAAGGAACAATAAAATCTCAGTCTGTGGAATTGCTAAAGAAATGAAGACTGAGTAGAACTTGAAGGCAATTAAAGCCTTTATTTCCATTTTATTATGGAATAAATACTCCAGGATATTTTCATTTGCTTCACTTTTTGTTTGCTCGTGGGCTCTGCTTGTTAATGTGACTGGGATGTATGAGAACTCCTTAATTAACCTGTTTTTGTGGGCATCTCGTGGTTTCTATGAAATGTGTGTGCTGACAGCTCTGGAACAATAGTCCAAATAGAAATGACAGATTTGTAAGCATTGGCCAACTAAAAACTGTTCAAGAAATGCAGTTTTTGAATTATTGGACCAGGCTTCTCTGCAAATTGGAATTCAATTCAGTTAATTGAATTCACTGGATCTATGGCAATTTGCATAAAGTTATAATAACAGCGTGGTTATCATTGTAAAAGCTGCAGTTTTGGAATCTTACATTAAAAATGGAATAATAGAATTTTTATTTTGTAATAGCCAAATGCAGAAATATCTAAATGACAGGGGGACAAAATTGAAACACATATTTTGCTCTCAGTTACAAAGAAGCTCATATTCACCAGTCCTGGGCAGCCTCTTGTGGAGGCTGTGTGGATTAGATGGAGGAAGGGTGTTGCTCTGTTGGTCCATCACACTCACTCCTGTCCTGCAGCTTTGCTTTATTCCAGTTTATGTTGCATAAAGTAAAGAGAGCTTTTGCTGAAGGCCTGGAAGCAATTCCTTAAAGCAGGGATTTCCTCTGTGCTGAGTCTGGGATCTGTGTCCTTGGGCATCCTCTGGATTGGGGATGAGCTCTGCAGGTGTTCTGTGGGTATTTCCTGCAGCAAATCCCCTTCCAGACCTTTCCTCCCCCATTTCTCCTGTCTGAGGAAGCTGTTGGGGCACATCCAGGGCAATAAACTCAGTCCCTCCACTCCCAGTGCTTTGTGGCACTCCTGGGGCTGTGCAGGGGCTCACAAGGACCCCGGGGAAAGAATCTGTTTGCTTAAAGATAAATTATTTGTTATTCAATATTTGTGTATGTTGACCTTAGGAACTGGTGAATGTGATAAATATCTGTAGAGCAATAAACCTGCAGGCTGGGGAGGAGAAAACATCTGTACAGCTGCCCTCACTGCGAGAAAATCCTGAGAAAATGGTTTCTGTTGGGGTCTTTGAAGTGGAGACTTCAAGAAGAGCCTGGTCCACAAAGTTTAAACAGAGATGAAGTAAAGGTTTAGGCAGAGGGAAGCAAGGTGGTGTATTGGAACCCAGGACATCCCTCTGGCTGCTCCAGACCCTGGCACAAAGTCACAAACACCTGTGGTTTCCATTTTAGCCCATGGAAAAAAACTGCCAACTCTGTGTGAGGGATTACAAACCACAAGGGTTTGAGTAGTGAGATACGTGAACTAACATAGGGTGGAAAAGTAGAATTTTGGGGTTTTTAGAATAGGGCTCAAAGGGGTACAAGATGGAGGGATTTGGACGTGTCCTGGCCTTTTTCTCCTTTGTCTTGTCCTCCATGTCTTGGTGTGATGGTGGCACTTTTCCATTGGTTTAAGGTAGAGATTCACTCTAACATAGATTATAGGAATTGGTGAATATCTGCAAACACAGACAGGTAGTTTTGAAGCTATAAGGTGGGAGCTGCCCAAGGCTCACAGCAGACTGCCATGACCTCCTTGCTAGGCAGAGCTGGGCAGGTCAGAGAAAGAATGTTTAGATAAGAAGAAATAAACAACCTTGAAAGCACAACTGGAGCATTCCAGGCTCCTTCTTTGGCTGCACTCGGGTTAAGGAAGCAAAGACTCTTTACAATCTCTCTTGGGGTCACCCTGACCATCAGAACCCCGAGAGAGAAATCCACAGTGGTGCTTCAGTTCCAGCCCTGCTTCCCTGGCCAGCCCTCAGCACAGGCAGCATCCTGCTTCATGGCAGCCTTCTCCACCATCTCCTGCAGAGCCAGGACGCGAGGCTGTGAGCAGGGCTCCTTCTCCCCTTTGCTTCCCCGGGAGTGAGGATGCTCCCCTGGCAGGAGGTGCTGCTCCCTCCCTCCAGCAGGGCTCAGCTGCTGCTGCTCCCCAGGGATGCAGGGAGAAGCCTCCTGCACATCCCAGCTGAGGGCACAGCAGCAGGGACGTGCAGCTCCTGCATCCCTGGTGCCGCCCAAGGGGTTCTGCTGTCTCTCAGAGCATCCCTGGACACCCCAACTCTCCTCCCCTGGCTGCTCCTGGCGTTCTTTGCTGCTGAGACAGAATCCTCTGCTCAGAGCTCAGCAGTTCTGGGCTTTTCTTGTAGAGGAACAGCATTGATTCTTTAAGGAAATTGCCTCTCCTCGGGTCCAAACAGTTTGTGCAGGAGTCAAAGATCTCCCCGTGCAGGATGGCACAGCGTCACCTCCGAGCCAAGCAGCAGTAAAACTCTCCAGGAGGAGCAGGAGCAGCTCAGCCAGGTATAGCAGGGACAAAAAGAGGAAAAACTATCTGGCATAAATAGAATTTATCTGGCTAGTTCATTCTCTGGTAGAATATAGAAATTATTTGTGGAGAGAGCAGCTTTCATTATGGGGTGGGACAGTGCCTGATGCCTTTCACCATGCTTTCAAACCTCTGAGTTTGTGCCTTTAATATTAATTTCTTTCTTTTAAATGCTGACCAGTGAATTAAGAGAAGGATGTGCTTTGCCCAGGAAGACTTTTCACATTGCTTCCTTGGAGCGTTATGAAAGCAGAAATCAGAGTTGTGGGTTAAATGGTTGAAACCTTTAAGTATTTGCTTTTATTCTTAAAAATACTTCAAAAATCAATGTCTGGGGGCTGCAGCACTCCCTTGTCCCTTGATCCACGTGCTGATCCTTCCTGCAGCCTCCTGGATGGCTCTGGCCAGGAGCAGCAGTCGATAGCTCTAAAACCAGCCTCACATTTTGGGTCTTGCCCTGGTTTTTGCAAGGCCTTGCAGTTCCCGAGTGCTTGCGGTGACATTGAGGATTGATAACGGTGAGAATCCGGGGCAATGGATTTTTGGGGACATTGTGTGGCCTTGGGAAATGCCACTCTGCAATTCCATGTGCCTGTCACTCACTGGGCTTAACGTTCTGTCCCTGGATTTTGGGCTCTTCTGGTTAAAGCTCAAAACCTTGGAGCTGGAATTGCTTTGATTTGAGGAGCAGAGGAGCTGCAGGAGCTGCAGGAAATCCTGCAGATGATTTCTCTGCAGACAGTTTTTGTCCTGGGCAGGCACTAGGTGAAAGCAGAGAAAAGCACAGCATGGAAATGTCCCAGGGTGAGGAACTGGTAATGTTCTCCTTGGATTTGGCTGGGGAGAACATCCCAGGAAATGTCCCAGGGTGAGGAACTGGGAATGTTCTCCATGGGTTTGGCTGGGGAGAGCAGCATGAAAATGTCCCAGGGTGAGGACAGGGAATGTTCTCCATGGGTCTGGCTGAGGAGAACATCCCAGAAAATGTCCCAGGGTGAGGACAGGGACTAGGCCCACTAAGCAAAACTTGACCACTATAATATGAATTTCCTAAATAATGTTTTTATGCTTGCCACAAGCCAGCCTGGCCTTGGGCACTTCCAGGGATCCAGGGGCAGTTACAGCTTCTCTGGGCACCCTGTGCCTCATTAACTCCACAGGGAGAATTTAAAAAAAATTAATAAATTATTATTATTATTATTATTAGTAGTAGTAGTAGTAGTATAATAAATAGTAATAATCTAAACCCATTGCCCCTTTCCCTGCCATTCCAGGCCCTCGTAAATAGTCTCTCTCCATCTCTCTTCTTTTTCAGTGGAAGAGGAGAGAGGTGGGGACAGAAGCCCCCAGCAGGTGGAATAAAATAGCAGATTATCAGCTTTACTCTCACAGAGCTGTAAAAATTATTAAATGAAAGGTTTCTTTACCAATTTCATAAAGAAATCCCTGGTATTCTTAAACCCCTGAGGAATGTAGCAGAAAACAGTATTTTCTGTATCCTTTAAATGCTTTATTGCACATCATTTGAAGCCCTTTATTGCTGAGAGCAACAGATACCACCTCAGATTTTCCCTGCTTTACTTTTGGTAATGTCATTTCTGATTAAACTTGGAGGATTTTGTATATTGAACCATGAAATAGTTAAATTTTTTATGAGAGTGATGAAAATCCTATTGCTTTTGGGTTTCAGAGTATCAATAGTCTGAGCTGAACAAGTCAGACCTCATTCCAAGGAAGCACCAGTGCAGGATCTGCCCTTCTCTGTGGTGTCTTCCCCATCCTGGGAAAGGCTGAAGGATAGCTTTATTAAAACTATGCTATATTACATTAATATACTATTTAAAGAGATAATATCCTCTTCTACATATTTCTTATTTACCCATCTAACTAACTCACACTTTCCCATCCTGGGAAAGTAGGTTCCTTTTAAAGGAAAGCATCTTTGCACCTTTGCAGCCACCCAGGCTCTGGGGCCGTGGTGGGAACTTTGATTTCTTGGAGCTGTTAATTCCTGAGCTGCAGTTTTACCTCTTGGCTGCAGCAGCACCGTGCATTTGGCTCAGAACCAGGAATAAATCAGAATTTGGACAGTTCAGCTCAGCAGTGCTCAGTCCACAGTGGTACAGCAGAAATTCTGTGGCACAGGGAGAGCCCAGCTCTGCATCCCAGGTAAGATTTGCCTGAATTTATTGCCCTGAAAAGCTTTCTTAGAGCTCTGCTACCACAATTAAAAGCTCCATATTCTCAAGGAGCCCATAAAGCTGTTCCCTTACACAGCAAAGGGCTGCACCATTATCAACCTGGGTTTGAGCATGGAAAAATGGTGATTTAAACTCAGAGAGAAGCATCAGGAGGAGACCAAATGAATAAAGTGTCTCATGGCAAGATATCAAATGCAGCAGTGCAGATTTTTAAGGAGAGGGCAGAATGAGTGTCCCAGGCAGTTGGCAAATGGACTGAAGAAAGCAAATTTAGGGCTTGCCAGAAGGAAATTCTGTGTCAGGGGA